GATAATTTAAGGTTTTTTAAATAAATATTTATTCTATTTCATATTTTCTGTATGTTTATATATTCTCTTTTGTATTTTTAGAATTTAAGAAGTCAAAATAAAATACTCTTCAAAATTCCCTCGTAATTTCATTGTGAAATAGCATTATTTTTAATACGCATTTAGTAGTAGACGCTATCGTTTAGTAGTAGATAAAAACGCTTTAAGAATTTATTATAAGCCGCCTAAGAAAAATACAAGTCATCTTTATGGAGTGCCAACAATCTTAGTATAAAAAAATGACGTAGTTTTAGAACTGTAATTAAGTTTCCAAATAGGTTTATTATAATTGTAAGCAATACAAACTGTAATGGGAATATATTCCGAATATAAAAACTAAAACCATCATGGTTTTAATGGGTAAATATGTTTCTATTAGATGGTCCATTAGACGGTAAAGTTTTAATTTGAAATAAAATTCTTGCATTTCTACATATGCATTTCATTTTCAATTAATTTATTTGAAGACAAACCTCCATACACATTGGATAAACAAATTAGTCTTGGATCTATCTTTCTATCTTTTTTATTATACAAGTATATGTATTTGTAAGTTTCAACATCATAGAAAGAAATGGAATAAAAATGTAAATGACATTATGAGCTGTAATTTCTATGGCATATAATGATGAAACTATATACTAGAAAACAGGAGAAGAGAACAGAAACGTGAGTATATACTAAGTGGATTGATGAATACCCGGCTTAAGTAATAAAAACGCATTTGTTTTAGAAAATTATATTTTATACTTTAATATACCTTTTAGCTCGACACAATGATCTTGCAACATTTGGATATCTATTGAATAATACAATTTATCAAATCCCCCAAAATATACTTCAGTTTTCCATTCCACTTCAGCATTTTATGCAAATTTCTTTCTCTGGAGCTGTCTTTTCAAGTTCCGAAACAGACAACATTTCATTTTGACATGATGTTCATTGACGTGTAAGTGGGTGCGTTATCCTGCAAAACAAAATTTTTTCTTCGATAAATGTCGTCGTTCTTTCTTGATTTCCCCACTCAATCGCACGTTTGAGAACTTTACCCTCGGGCTCTACCCAATTTCTGGTTTGTTGTTTTTTCTCAGATGTGAAGTAATGCATCTATGTTTCATCAATTGTCACCACTTGATGCTCATAGTCAGCTAGATTGTGCATAGATGTTTCCAAAGAATGTTTTGAATGACAAAGTCGTTATCGTTTTTGGTCAATTGTGAGCAAAAACGACATCCATCTTACCGAAAGCTTTTTCATACCTAAATATTCATGTAAAATATTCGATAATCCTTCATATGTTAAGTTTGTTATCTCTGCTATCTTATACAAGGCTTTTTTCAATATTTTTTTTAGTAGTGACCTCTTTTGGACGACCCGGACGCTCTTCATCCAAAACACTCTTACGATCACGTTTAAATTCAGCTTTCCAATATTTTATTGTCGTTAACGATGACGCACGATTGCCGTTTCCAGAACAGAGTCCATTTGCAATTTGATTGCATCGTTGTTCATTCCTTTCAAATGGAGGAATTATTACTGAACTGAATATTCGATTTTTACCATTTTATAAAAAATCACTAAGGTGCACTAATTCAATTACTTGCAAAAGTGAATCAAACATCTGATATCAAGTCTAAATTTTTACAGTAGTCGTTTAAAACTTGACAGATATACGAAATATAATTAATTGGCAACAGGCGTTTGCACCTGTTGTGACTTCAGGTATGAGTAATTATAAATCCATATAGTAGATAAAAGTATCGCTATAACCTTTATTACTCAGACAGCGGTTCTAACATTTTTTCCTGTTCTCATTTACTTAAAGTTTAATATTCCAACTATACGGCGAATGCGAATTCGTATTCGATTATTCGTTTTGCATCAAGTAGTACAAACAATTGGGTTTTTCAGTATGATTTTGTGCGTTCTTTCTAGTTGTAAAGTAATTTATTGTAATTTAATGCCTCTACAAACAGAATAGTTATGAAATTTAATAATTAAAAATTAAAATATGATTAATTAATTCAATTATTTTACAGTTGGTTTATGATATAAACACAGTAAGTGAATTTGTTCATAAAACTTTCACAGCAAATTAACAAAACTCCCGAAAAATGTGCGAACATAAAAGTCACGTTCTGCTTTGGATCAGTTGGTTAAGGTGCGCTGACTCTGAGCTTCAAATTTGGCAGGGCACGAGTTCCAAATATTATTTACGAATAATTAAATACAATAATTATATCTAAGACCACTGATGATGGGTATTTGGCAATACTCGAAACAGCTGTATGGTCAGCCAAAAATTCAATAAATTAAAAATAATATAAAATGAATTTTTGTTGTTGTGGTTCACTACCGTTCGAAAAACCACTTTACGCAACTTATAGTGTTTAACAATTATGCTCTATACTTTTTCAATTGTAAGAAATATGAATATTTTAATTTTAAATAGATTTTTTTGTATGTTTTTTTTATTATTGTTAAAAAGATATGCATATTTTTTTATTGCGACACATTAATCTTACTTATCCACAGTTTTAGAATAATTATTGTATTTATCATTAAAATCTTAATATCACAATTTGCTTGTAATGAATATAGAATAAATAAACGTATTTATTGCTTATAAGCATTTATTGTTTT